AGGAAGAAAATGAACTCTATCCCAGCCGAAACCAGGACAGACATTCAGTGTGTCAAAGCAACAAGGCAAGATGGAAATAAGTCATACTCTTCTAAATTTGTACTTCAGAAGCTTTTGTTGAGAGTCTAGTCTTCAGAAAACTTTCAACATGATGGTAATCTGTAGGACCTTTTTATTTCAGTAACAACAACAACGGAGGTCTCCTTATTCATTTCTGGATAGTATTTGTGGTACCACAGACGAAAGGCCAAGTGCTGTGTGAGGATTGTGTGGCTGCCATTTTAAAGGATTCCATTCAGACAAGTATCATTAACCGGACCTCAGTGGGAAGTCTTCAGGGCCTTGCAGTCGACATGGACTCCATTGTACTAAGTGGTTAGTATTAGCACATACCTATATCCTTGAGGAAATACTTTGTGAAGCAAATATTTTTATCTTGCAGTAGCAAATTCTATAAATAAACCAAAATATTTATCCACCACCTTTAGCTTCTAATATTAACATTATGGGGGGGGGGGGGAGGAAAATGAAAATAAAAACAAAAAAATATTTGGGTTCAAATCAAGGTACGAAGTATCCCTGTGAACACCGATTGCAAAACTTCCTTTACTTGGAGTGCTTATGTTCAAATTCAGGAGTTAAGCTTGACACCTTGTAGCCAGCTCAGATTTGGGTTAGTCTGTGACTTTAAAACTATAAAAAGATGAAGGGTTAAGCTTTCCACATGGATCAAACTTTAGCTCCTCCATTGAAAATGAGGTTCTTGTCACCCCTTTATTAAAGATTAAGAAACAGATTATAAAGCTGCCCATTCTTTAAACAACTCCTGTGCCATTCCTATCTGGGGAAGAAATTAGCAATGTAGGATTCAAGTATCTTTTTTAATGTAATTAGCTCCAAAACATTGTATGATTTTCAGCTCTATGATCAAAGGACAGAACAAGCTTCATTTGAACAACTTTGTCCAAATGAAAGCTGAAAAAGACTTTCTGGCCAAGGGTGAGAAGATAACCTCCTGTGTACCTCTGTCTCAGTCCTTCAATTAAATTTGACTGCTTAATTGACATAATCTCTTCTTGCCTCAGGCTCTAAGATGTCTGGGGACATGATACCTCCAAAGCTGCTTGCAGAATTTGCAGAAATGAAGGTGGCTTGGGCAGCCTCCCTTGTTGAGTTTAGTGTTATGATTAAAGAAGTGTGATTGAATTAAACCCTGAATTCTGGATTTTGGGCAAATGAGAAGACTCACACAACTCTCTTTCTGTGCAGCAGGTCTTCGGTCAGATTATTGGTCAACAACAGGAACAGGTAATTCACCATTTTGGCATCTTCCTGGCAGAGGAGACGTGACAAAGCTTTTAGTTCATGTCTTAGACTTAAAGATACCGTTCAGTGTTAATTTAAGTGGGTTAAATTCAGCCTTAAATTTATGTCCTGAGTTGCTGTAAGAGTGGCCAAGAGTCTTGCATGCCACAAATACAGAAATTATTTGCCTTTAGTCTGACTGGTAAATTTTTTAGATGTACCTGGTGGCATGGTAGGAAATAAACTCAGTCGGTTAGTTGTTTGCTATTCACTCTGTGTTGAAGAGAAGATTAAGCTTTTCTAAACTGGGCAGTACGGAATTTAAATCCATTTATTGGCTTTTGAGATAAACAATAGCAATGCTTTTGTCCATCCTTTATCCTCCTTTACTCCCTTTTCTCCAAGGTTAATGAGTTTTTCTTTTGAATGAATTCCCTGATGGAAATTAGTTTAAGCAGTTCAGTTTTGCCAGGGTTATAGGAGACACTACTTACACACCTGCTTGCTTTCATGTTGTAAACCCCCCAGTAGAGTTCTGTGGCAGCATGCAGAGACTTTAAAAGCAATTTAAAAGTATAATGCATCTATGTTTGCTAGTATGTGGAGTAGGTACCTAGAAAGAAAGTGCTACTCGACTAAACAATAGTATGCCAAACACCTTTGATTCAGACACCTGATAAGTCTCTGCTGGGCCAGCAGTTGTCAATCAGATAGGAATGTGTTGGCCTCCCTTGTTCCTCTGACACAGGTTTACTTTTCATCTTGTGTAGTTGCACCCTTTCAGTATAAAGAGCTTTATACCTTTCCATGTCTGTGTTTGTATTTTTTGAGACATTAACTTGTACTATTTGAACAATTACATTTCTATCTGTGATTTCTACTTCTGTTGTCTTTGCAAGGTTTTAGCTTGCATGCTTTCTCAGAATTCAACAATTACTTTTGTCAGTGCAGCCAAGTCAAGGTCTCCTAGTACTGCTGTCCACAGGTGGATTTTGGGTCACAGGCCATGGGTTGCAATGCTTAGATTGATATTGGCCCATAATTTCTCAAAATTCAAGTCAAGTTTGCTACAGCATTCGTTTGCTCAAAATCTTTCCTGACTTAAACTGCGAAGCATAGCAATATTAGCCTTTGTCACGTCTCCTTACATGAATTTTAATTATAGAAAAGAATTTTGTGCATTGATGCTCATGTGTATAGCAATTTCATCTCCCAGTTCAGTGTTCCAGGGCAGAGGAATTAGTACAGTCAGATCTTATGTTTCAATTTATTCCAGAGTGCATTCCCTAAAGGACAAGAAAATAAGAACACTGCAACACAAATATTGATTCTAAGGCTTTTTTTAGGGCTTGTATGGTATCTTTCACACAAAGGGAGAAGGGTGACCTGCCATATTCTCTTCTTGGACTTACAATGTAGTCAACCACAGGTGGCAACTGGTATCTATGAGAAGCACAGTGCTGGTGTGCAATGAAGTTGCAGGGGAACAACAAGATGGATTGCCACAGGAGTTGTGCAAGTCTTATATTGGTGCAGTTTCATTTGTTGGGGTACTTTGAGTGCATCTGCTTAGGACTATAGAATACGGTGCAGAGGTTAAAATGCCAATGCAACAGCATACAAGGCAGGTTCATCGCTTGGTTGTATTTTGAGAGCAATGAAGTTACTTTGGTATGAAGATGCACCTAGTTATTAGTTCAGGCACAGCACTGGAGTGCAGATGTACTGAAGAATGGGTTGGAGAAGGGACTTGTCATTCTCAACAGCTGAACCTCTACTTCCATTGCCGTGTTATCTGGCTATGCAGGGCCTGTTTAGGTAAAGACTGTATCCAGCTTTGGCGTGCATTACTTCTAGTTCCAGAGCTAGCTCTGAAATCTCTGCACCATGCTCCTCACCAGCAGTGAGCTCATCACATTCTAAACTACTTAGTAGAAATAATGGCAGTCACATAATTCTAAAGATTATGATCAAAGCTGCCTTTGCTAGGGGTGAGTCAATAAGCACAAATAACTATTATAAAAAGAATGTTATTGGGAAGAGATAAGAACAAGAAGGAAGAAGGAGGAACAATGGCTCAACCAAAGCTTGAAATAGTTATAACCGTAATTCAGTTGAACGGTATGTGACCCTTACAGATTGTTAATGAACATTCATAACATTAGTTTCAAGATTGTAAATTAGATATGGAAGTCAGACAAAGCTTGCCACTTCCTGTCTTGATTAGCTGCTGGTTAAAAGGCCAACATTTAATTTGAGTCAACAGTTGATAATGAACGTTCACAGTGTTTTAATTGGTGTTCCGTGATAGTAACTATTTCAGAGACTTGTCTTTTTAAGAGACAGAAATTAATGCAAATATTTATTTTGGATTTTATTCTCCCTAATTTGCATTTTCCTCCTTCTTACTTTTCAAAGAGCTATGTTAAGAGTTTTAGATATGACTAAACAAAAAAATCCCTAAGCTTTTTGCTGACTGGGAGTTGCAATATTGAATTAAAATAAAGACCTCAATATGTTTGACTTGAAAGCAACAGTTGTTTCAGCTTAATTGGATGCAAGTAGGGTAATTTTCTGGTGATTCTTATCTAAATTATGGCACAGCTTTTTTTTTTTTTTTAAATAAAAGTGTTTTGTAGGCTAGGCTATATCGTTTACATTTCATGGTACTTCCATTTCTAAGTGACTTCTAGTGCTGCAAAAGTTTTCAAGACTTGACAGAACAAACTCCTGGTCTGAATAAATTTTGACCCTGCTTTGAGCAGGACATTCAACAAGAAAGGTCGTAGCATCCCTTCCAGCCTGAACGAATTGGTGAATCTGAATTTAGTGGCAGCACTTGCAGCTCACTTCACAATAAAACATTGAGAAGCCTGATGTTTGAACAATAATCTAAAAAACCCAGAGTAATACAAAAATGTAGCTTGATTTTTATTTTGTTTTTATTTTATTTATTATAAATATCCTGATATCTGTAGGGGTGAGCAGTTGATTTCTGCCTTGATGAATATTTCCCGGTGAACTATTATTTAAGTACTTTATCTGCTGGGAGCTCCACAGATCTCTAACGGCGAATGCCTGTTGTACAAAATGGCGGTGCTTTTGTGCAAATACCCTACAAGGACTTATTTACAGCACTGTTTGTGATGTTCTGTAGTTTTATGAATAGGTTTTTCCTTGACCACAGACTTGTAACTAAGACACAAACAAAGAGTAGCATAGACTACTTTGTTTCCACATTTAGTTATGCTTTAATATGTTGCTATAGTTTAAAATTATTTTCAGGATTTTTTGGTTTGTGCTCCATGAGGATTAACAGTTTTGTAGTGAGAGTCCAGTGTTGAAAAAGTGACATTTCCACAGGAACAAATTGTATGTATGATCTGTATGCTGATCACCTACATAAGCACTTGCCTCTGGATATCCATGCTACCTCGGGGGGAACAATCTGCTATTTTAAGCTGATTGCATCGGTTGGCCATCTTATTCGTCTTTCATTAGTATCCCTTCAGATTGAAGCAGATAACTGCATCACTGACTCGTTAACCGTTTATGACTCTCTGATGCCAATCAAACATAAGATACTGTACCGGTGAGTATAAATTTTCATTGTGAATTCATGGACAGTCATTTGGGGTTTTTTTCTGTAGATTTGTCAACTGCATTATTAGTGGATTTTCATTTGGTTTGTTAAAAATACTCTGATTGTCGTGCATTATACACACAACACCTGGCAAAATACTTTTTTTTACAAAAGTGGAGAAGTTGATCTCCATAATGAAAGAAAAGTTAAATATTTTTAAAGTTCTTCTTTATTCTTCAACTGGAGTGCAGCTTCACCTAGCTGTAGAACTATGAGAAGTTCACACATTACTGGGTGGAATTTTCTGTTTCTTATCAGGAAACAGATGCTAGCTAAAATAAAACATCAAAATTTCCTCCCCTAAGCAAACTCTTCTTCCATATGAAGATTAGTGCTCTTCATATGAAGACTGAAGTATCTAAAACTAAGTCTTGTGATTCTTTGGATACTTTCCGCCACTTGCCAGTTCAGCACTTTTTTTAGCTGCTCTATTTGAATAGTTTAGAGGGTTATTAGAGGGTTATTAAAATCTAGAATTGAAGTTCTGATGGGTTGAGGGATATGGACTATTTTTAAAATTTTTTTTTTTTTTTTGGTCTCTTTAATGATACAGTAGGCTTGTTTGGGGATTTTTCCACTAATTCCACAGGGCTCTGCCATACCAAAAGGTGAAGACATCACCTCCATCATGTACATGAAGAGGTCACTCTTTTGACCCTGAAATTGTTTTCTCTGGCCTGTCAGTGTGTGTATAAGCCTCAAAAAAAGGGCATTGGCTTTTCAGTTCCCTTCAAGAGCTGTCCTCTAGTAATCTGAATCACTCACTAACTTGTCTATAAAAAAGCAGACGGTGTTCACTTGTTAGTATCTGTAGAGGACTGAGGATATCTGCTAGGTAATGCATATGGAAGGTAACTTTTTTTATGAGACTAGTTGATTGACTCAGGTTCTTAATTTCTGACTTGAAGAATAACTTGCTTGTCTTTCCCACTGTCCAACCCCAAGCTAAATCTGTTGGTCTAGTAAAGTAAATTTTCTCTTTCTACAAGCTTTTCTTTACTATTGGCTTCATTCATTTTTGCTTGGAGTGAGGCTGAAAGTCAGTATTATTTCCTAGAGCTAGCCGTTCTGTCTTCCTTTTCATGTATGCAATTTCTTTCTTTTTTTGTAAGAAGTGACTTTCCAATACTGAGTTTCTAACTGGCCTTGTAACAGGCTCTTTTGTGTTTAAAAGCATAGAGTTTTTACTAGGCTTTGAAATAGGTAAGCTCTGCACCAGTGGAAAACTTATCCACAGAATGAGAACAATGTGTTGAGTTTTTGTTTTGGTGTTTGTTTTTTTACTGATTGCTTATGTATGTACTCTCCTTTCTTCCCCCTCAGAGCTTGTGAATCAGTCAATTCATTGGTGTCACTTGTGTCCACAAATAATCTCATGCTGATAACTTTTAAGGCAGCACAAGTAAAGGAACAGAAGGAATTCCATGGATATTTTGAGGTCATTACACAAGAAAGTAGGTTTGTTCTGTGTTTGGAAATGTGTTTACTGTATTCTTTCTGTCTAAGATCCCAAAGTGGCTGTCATGTTCATGGCTATGGATAATGACTCCTGTATTTCAGTTTCTTTTTTTCTACATGCCTGTCTCTCCTTCATCTCCTCCGCATCACTGAGTGTCTGCCGTCCTCTTGATTACTTTAATCTGTGCAGATTAAAATATGGAGAAGACTGAAAGCAGCACTGACTGAATTTGGTTGGTCAGGAATGCAATGTGCCAGCAGATGGAGTTGTTATTCCAGGTGTAGCACTGCTCTGCCCTCTCTCCTGGTTTGGGACTCGGTGATAGTGTTAAAGGTGGAAGGAGTTTGGCACTAAAAATACTTTCAAGAAAACAAAACTTCAGCAGCTCTGTCTGCATTTTCTGTCGGTCCTTGCCTCCTCATTAATGCAAAGGAGTCAGTTATGTTTATGCGTCAAGTCCATCATCTGCTTTTTATCGCTTTAAGCTTTAAGAAGTGGTTAGATCATAATCACAAATAGTACAAGGAACATGACGCTAGTAGCACAAGGAGAAAAATCTAACACATTCCAATGCAAGGAAATTCAAGCTGCTCAAAAAGATGCTGCATATTTTCCATGTTGAGAGTAATTGAGCATTAAAATACCATCCTAAAAGCATGTGATAAAAGCATGTGATAACTCCTCCATCATAAGTAACTTTAAATTCAGGGCTGTTATTTTTGTTTGGTTGGTTGGTTTAAATTCAGGGCTGGGTTTTCTTTGTTGGTTTCTGTGTGTGTGTGTTTTGTTTTTAATGAATTCTCTAAATCCATTAAGCAGTTAGAAAACGAAGTTTTGGCTTCCAGGAGGCTGATCAGATTAGCACGTTGTCCATTTCTCTTCTAACTGTCTGCATTTTAAGACTGGAGATCCTCATGTGCTACTGTGGTGGGGATGTATTGATGTGCAACACTTCACTGACACTTGTTTGCAGAACTGCCTTCAGTGAAATAACCAATACATAACTTCACAGTGTTTTCTCCTGGTCCTGCAGAGCCCAGCAAGCATTTCTAGATTTTTACATCCCTTGTGTGTCTGTCTGCATCATTGGGAAGGTTATCTTTTTACAGCTTGAACTCAGATAAATACAATTCCTAGGCTGCCTTGTTTTGCAGTGGAAGACTTCTGATAAATTTGGGTGCTTAGCCCACTGAATAGCTTTGCTGGAAATATATTAAGGTTCACCAACTTTTGCCTCACTTTTTTCCCTAGGGTGTGGAAAAGCAATAGTGACAAAAGAGAAAATTGGCTATGAAGGGAGAATCACAAGTCCCTATTACCCAAGTTATTATCCTCCAAAATGCCTTTGTGCATGGAACTTCCAGGTAACATGAATCTCTTTCTCTCTTAGGCACTGTTGTGTGTTTTGGGCACATGGAACCTGTAAGTATAGAAGAAACCATTGTGTAGCACGTAACCTGCATCCTTACAGATGTGGCGGTTTATAGAAACGACATAGCTGAATAGCTGGCTGTGCTCAGGTTTCTTGTGTTGGGTTTTTTCTGTTCTTTTTTTTTTTTTTTTTTTTGTCCCTGTGCACTTATTCTTAATGAAGAGAACATAGTTCCTAAGCTGTCCTATTATAAAGATGAAGAGCTAAGTTTTCATGTTTAGCCTGCATAATTGCTTCACAGCAGAGAATGTAAGACATGACTGGTTTTTATTCCCCTCTTCCCACCCCCAAAAATTTGGGGAAAAAATATGTACAAAAGAGTCCTCTAACCTAGTTATTACTACTGTTTCTCTGATATCTCTTCTCAGTCTATTTTGTTATGCTTGATAAATTGAATTTTTGTCTTCTGAGATGTTCTGTCCTATCCGTACAATCCCACAGACTGTTTTTCTTGGTATCCTTTTTCTGCATCTTTTCAGGTACTTGCCTGAAAGCAAACAACTGAAAGTTCACATCTGTTTAAAATACTTTTGTCATGCCTTGTCTGATGGCATTAGTATTTCCCTATTGATGCTGCTAAAACATCATCTTTGACTTATGGTTTCCCATTAGTGTTTTCCTCTCTAAAGAATCTAGCAATGGATACAATGCAGTCCACTGGTTACCCATCTTTCTGCTCGTGCTACTTATATCTGTTTGAGCTAGTGGTTGCCTATGTTGAATCACACCAATTCCAATGGAGTCCAGCTAGCCATGACCTACAACCTCTTCCTCTTCTAGAAAGCTAAGGCGATTACTTTTTTGTTAAACTTTCAGGTCTTCAATTCACCCTGGACTTCTGAGGGAAAAATTTCTGGACACTTAACATGGGCAACCCCCAAGATTTATTTCTCAAAACAGTTTAATTTCCCAGTAGTTCAATGTTGAAACTTCCCTCATTTCCCAAATCATGTTTTCTGTAAGACGGAAGGAGAAAAATCTCCATATCTGGATTCTTGTCCTGAACTAGCCCTTGTTTTTAAAGGAACATTGCCTTGTCTTGCAAAAAGGTTCTGTTCCTTTCAATAAAGGAAATTTTAATTCATTATGAACACTCATAGTACTGCTGGGCTTAAAAATCTTTGGTAAAATGCTAAAGAATGCTTGGCTGAGCAGGTGCTAGCAGAAGACTACAATATTGTGGCAGAAAAAACTCCTAGCATTACAAAGGCAACACAGGCATTCAGTGCAGTATTTTAGCTAACAATCTGCTGGGGCTGTGTGTCCCTACACAAGTAAATTTGGATGCATTTGAGTGCTTTGATCTTGATACAAATGCTGCTTTCTATGGCCAGTGGCTTTTTGAAGATGAAAGGACTGTTGGCTAGAGGGGGAAAAAACCTACAGCTGTGGTGGGGCTTTGCCGACCTTTGCTTTTACTCAAGACTGAATAGCTGGCAGGTGTCTCAAGTGTTGGCTGTTGAGCTGGCAAAGTCAGCACAGCTCCCAAAACATGGCATTGCCAAGCACTGTAATTGCTGAGATAGTACACAAAAGTCTTGAGACTTATGTCCACAAAAGGAAAAAGGTGACCTCTTGCACTGTCTTTCTTGTTCACAACAGACTCCACAGAAGAACCTTGGTATAGCTCTGAAGTTTCATAACTATACCATCAGCGAGAAGAATATTAAAGGCTGTGAACGAGGATGGTGGAAAATTAATGAACACATGTAAGTACTTCTGCAGGGGTTATTAAACTAACTACCAAAGTAAACTTTCCCATCACTATTGCAGCTTGCTCAGAGAGTTTCCACAAAGACAGAAATACTTCGCTGGTGTCTCTTACCATTCTTTCACTTTGGCTGATGATGTAACTGAATCTTTGTAAAATATATATACATATAAAAAAGTTTTCCATTGAAAAGTACCAGAAAGATGAAAACAAGAGCCTTTGGTACTCTCTGGAGAGAAAGAAATGGGAAGACCTGGATGAAGGTGGATGTCCTGTGAATGCTAAAATAATTCTGGGTTTTCTGGGACCATTGAACGACGTCTGTTAAAACCCTTTTAAGTGTAACTTAATTCCATGATTGCTCATGAGGACACCAAACCTAATTAACTTCTCAGTGAAAGCTATTACAATCAGATTATTGGGAACAGAAGAGTAATTGCTTCTGCATTCGAGTCACTGACTCTTGAAAGAGAGACCACACAGATTGGCTGCCAAGGTACCACTGTATTTCTTAAGAGGTTTTTTTTTTTTTTATTAAAATATTGCTGCTATTTTGTTATGAAAATACTGCTGCTTTCTCATGCATCTTGTCCACCCATTTTTTCCTCAATTTTTTTAAGTCCTCTTTCAATCACTGGCAGATGAAGCAAGGTTAGATTTAGGATGTTGGAATCTTTTTGATTTTTTTTAAACCTTGTTCAAATGGAAACCTCAGTAAGGTCAGACTTGAAACTGAATTTCTGAACTTGCTAAGAAACTAAGCAAAGTCAGCCAGGCCTTTAGGAGTGTAACTGAAATAATTACAGAGAGGAGAAAAAACTTTCCCTGTTCTTTGATACCATGTTGTACTTAGAGAAAATTGAGTTTTTCTGAAGCTCCTAAAGTTGTGCCTTGATGGGAATTGGTTGCTGGACTAGATGGGCACACAAAAACACCAGTCAAAACAGACAACATCTGGTGTGTTTGGGGTTTTTTGGCGTTCTTTTTATGACAGAACTGGAAAGATTTGAGATAGTAGGGGTGGCTGAGATATGAATCAAATAAAGGCAAGATATGGAGGAAAAAAAACAATGATGGGTTCATATTGTAAGAATTCTCTATATGAAAAAGCAGTTTTTAAATAAATCTGGAGAAATGGCTAGTTAAACACCAGTAGAAGGCTCCCAAGGATCTGTAGCTCTATCTTACAAATCCCACAAGCGTATGGCATTTCTCACTGTGTACAGGAGATAGCTTCTTTCATGTAGCTGTCTCAGCTCTTCCACAGATGGGCAGAAGCTTCCTCTGCTTCTGGCGAGATGAGGTCATTTTATGTGGCTAAGAAGTGGTCAATGCAGCCTGCATTTTTTTTTTTAAATGGTGCTAAGGTTTGTTGGAGGGAAGTTGTCTAAGTTGTTGACAGAAGGAGAAATGTAGAAAATGTCTGTGGGCTAATTGAGGGGACTCAGATGGTTAGGTGGCATTTTGGTATGGGCTTTGGCAGGCTGTTCTAGGTTGGGAACGTTGATGACAGATACACTAAAATGAGTGAGAATGAGACTTCCTGTAGCAGCAAGTCTTCACTCGTCACTCTTATCCCTGATTTTTTTTTTTTTTTTTTTTGACAATTACCTTTACTATAGTAGAAAGCTATTACATGAACTCTGTTCTTTGCATCTGTTTTCAGGATGTGTAAGAGAAGTCTCTTTTTTTAATTGTTTTGTTTGTTTATTTTTCACATTGCTGGAACAGAATCTCCTAGATCTGTTAAAAGGATGTTTCATTTTCATAGGGTGAAAAAAAGCACATATGGAAACACATGAATGAGCATGGCCATTCCCTATGGCATGCTTCGGTGGGGTGCACAGGACACCAGGCAACATCTATCCACATAGAAATCACTGCCAATTTCCCTGCATTCACTGACATGAAGAGTAGTCCTGGTGCAATGCCTGGTGTTGCCAAAATAAACAAGGAAAATATTTACCTCTGGATCATAGCCCATTAGTCCATTTAACAATACAATAATCCATTTGCGTGTCCTTCAAGTTCATTCTAACAGCAAGTGTGTGTGCCAAGCGAACTAAGAGTCAATACAGCTGCTTCTGCTCTTAAATCTATTTAGACTGATAAGTACTTTTCTCGACAGGAGTCTTAAAGCCAGATATTTTTTCCTAAGTGCTGCTTTTTTGGGGTGTTTTAGTGGAATAGAGGAGAGTCCTTATTTCCACTTCTAGAACAACCTGCACTTGTCAATGTTCACTGGTTTACTACATTTAAAACTGTCTCTAGTTTTTAAATCATGATCCAGCAACCTCTGCCTGTTAACAAGGTTTTTTGGGGTTTTGTTTGTTTGGTGTCCTGTCCCCCCCCGCCCAGCTAGAGTAGCATCTAAATGCCAGTTGCAACAACTTGGGCATCTTTAGTGAGAGGGACAATAGAAATGCATTAGCAATGGGTGGATTAAATGTTTGCTGACATCAGGGAGCATTTAGGTTTCTCTAAGTGACACCTAGGCAGAAGTCCAAGGAAGCTTCTTGCCAAAATGGCAGCTTAAAGTAGATGTGCATGCAAGGGATTTTTTTTTTTAATCTAGACTAGTCATTTGAAGACATGACTTTCAAAGGTAAAATTCCAGAATGTTAATGGTAGATGAAGGCTGGGTGACTACTCAGAAATATTTTCAGTTTCCCTAAATCTTATTCTACTCAGTCTCCAAAGTAATTGGACCAATTTTATCCCAGTACCTTTGTGCACTCTCTTTAGGGGCAATCCTCAAAATCAGAGCAGCTAAACTTGCTCTCCACTGTGCTGACATTTCCCCTCCCACCAAATTTACTTAAGTCTTTCTAAGAATCCAAATGTTTTGAAAACAGATATCAGAAGTGATGACATAAAGACCCCTGTTTGTCTTGATAAATTTCTTCATTACATCTCTGTTCCTCTAAACTTTCCCGCAAAACATTCTGCTTAATGTGTGTGATCATGAAGGATTATGACCAGCATTTTGGGGAATTTGGGTACTGTTTCAGATTTTTGTTCTTAATTATAGTATGGCAGCTGACTGTGTTGCTGAATTTTAGTGATGTTGACATTTAAATTGTACGTAAGGCAATTTTGATGTGAAGGCTGCTCTAGAACTGCATTGAACGCTTTTAGGTACTGCGGTTATTATGTTGATCACCAAACAGTCTTCCACATTGCAAGTTCTGCTGTCAACATCGAGCTTCAGTGCAGTTCAAAGGTCTCGGAGAAGCCACTTCTGGTGGAGTATGGGAGCTATAACATCAGCCAGCGTAAGATGGATTTTATCTTTTTCAACCCATCTTTGCATTTCAGACCTGTGAAGCAGCATTTTTCAGGTCCAGTAGGACTTAATCACATTTACGCAGGAAATTCTCTGTTGCATTTTTGTTCATTTTCTTTTCAAATCTTACTAAGTCAGGTGACTAGCAAGCAAAGAGCTCATCAAGGCTATGCAGCTAAGGTTTGTGGGCATGTGCAGCATGCTCTGGTTTCCTGTACGTACACAGTCTGCTCTCTTCTGCACCGTCCTTAAAGCTTCTTGTGTGGCTATGGCCATGGTGCAGTCAACTGAAGTCTGCTGTTCCTGCTTGTTTTCACCCCCAAGGTTTTGTTTGCAATATTTCTGTTACTACAAAGACTTCCAGGTAATGAACAGAGGGTACCGAATAACCAACTGCTTATTCCAGTGTTTCCATCAGTTAACATACTTTGTGTGCAAGTAGAAGTCTGAGCTGAAAAGACATCTTAAAAAGTTGATAAAATAGTCTACTGACTGTGAGTTTTTTCAAGTCCTGAAATAGACAACTGTTTACTGATACTTTATCCCCTGTGTTAATCTTACATATTCATGCAAGTCGTGAACAAGCAATGGTTTCTAGTTATAGCTACTTGTCACATTAGAGCATTTTTACATTGCATGTATGTGGAGTATGTAAAAAGATGGTAACTTCATGATTTCATTTTAATTTTAAAAGGCAAACAGTTATGTAATTCATAAGTCACCTCAATACATGTTGCTAACCAAAGTTGCAAAGTGCTTGCAAATTTTGGTTATTGAAAGTGAGGCTGTCCTTTAAAAGACGGTGGCATTCTAAGCTGTCTTGTGTTGCACCATAAAACACTGGCTGATTTGGTCCAGTCCTAGTGTAGAGCCTGCAGTACATATTGCAGTAACAGCTGAACTGGAACTTTAGAGATGTTTTTATTTCTTTTTTAAATCCTGGTTTTCAACATCGGAACTCAATTTAAGTGCTGGCAGTGCATGCAGACTATCAAAATTAGATCAACTTTATCATTCCTTAGAACAGCTTAGTGACTGTAAATTGAAATGAGCTGGCAATATTTGGGAAAAGGAAACTTAAGGATTTGGGCTTTTTTTTTCTGTTGGGTGTGGTTTTGGTTTTTGTTTGTTTTTGTTTCTTTTCTTTTTTTTTTCCCCTCCAGCATGTCCACCTGGACACTTCAAGTGTTCTACTGGCTTATGCATCCAGCAGATGCAGCGCTGTGATGGGATAAACAACTGCTTCGATGAAAGCGATGAACTCTTTTGTGGTTTGTATTCACTTACTAGAGATCTTGACTGGAAAATTCAGTGAATGTATTCTCTAGTCTTAGAAGGCTGCTGAAACAAGGTGAAATAAAAAAGATGTTTCCAGCTTCCTTTGTATCTCCAGATACATCTACAGATGTCAGTCTCTTGAGTGCTTAATTCCTAGTTAATTAGCAAGGTATGAAACTAGGAATGAAGAAGGTATGGCACTGGAAAGCATGCGAAAGTAAGTTAGATGTGCAAAAATAGCTGTAATAGGCTATATTTTAGTTTTTCCTCATGTGATAAATGCTGTTAATTATAAAGTTTTGTTCTATTTTGAGATTAGTTACTTTATTTTCCTTGGGGACTGACAAATTGTGGTGCATAGAGTAGATAAGAATGATAGTAAATGTCCATGGTGAAAGAGGGTTAGAACTTGGGCCATTCCACTTGGAGCAATGTGTGAACTGGGACAGGTCACTGAACTCTTTTGTGCTTTATTTTCTCCATGTGTAATGTGGCACTCATACTCATCCTTGTACCGTTGAGTAAAGCTATGAAAGTGGTAGCTGGGCATAGTCAGAAAACTAGTGTTAGCATTACAAGCATGCTTCTGTAGCTGATTTGACTCATGTTTTTAAAGTTTTCCCTGAGTGGAACTGCAACTCCAGCTTTGCAGTACAGGATAACCTGCTTGCCTGCAATGGAGTAAGTGATTGTGAGAATGGAAAAGATGAGCAGAACTGCACCCACAGTAAGACTACTCTCTTGATTTTTTTTTTTTTCTCTCTTCTATCATCTATCCAGTCTGACTTGAATACTGAATGCCATATTCGAAGAGTTAAGAGGCACTATCAAATCTAACTTAGGCTATATAATTCTGTTCAGTTTTCTGATATCCTTATAAACAAGTTGTTATTAATTTTAAACTGTTTCTTTTCAATGAGCTCATGAACATCTGTTTCAGCAAAATACTGGCAGAAGAATTAAGTACTCTAGGTGCAGGATGGGGATCTAGGGGTTTAAAGCTTGAATCCCAGATTTTATCTCTTTGAAGCATAGTATGTGCAAATTATTTCCTGGATCTGTTTTACCATCTGTAAAATAACTATAAAAATGATAGTTTCTCTGGAGTAGTTTTCAGGGTTATAAGGTTAATATGTTCAAATTTCTATGGAAGCTATAAATTTAGCATCAGGCACATGAAAGTTTTGAGTCAGCCATTTCTTTAACTTCGTAGAATAAATGGACACCATGACATATGAAAGGGAACACAACTGGGAAGTGCTGCAAGTAACTTTTTTAAAAGAAAAGTAATGTTTTTTGACCTGCTTCACTAGGCAGTCTGTGTAAGTGGTTACAGGATACTTCTGTGTGTTGACAAGAAAAATAGATTGGCTTTGAATGGTCTCATTTATTGGGAGCTACAGGGAAATATGAAAACGCCAAGGTTGGGGCTGCAGTTTAACTGAATACAAATAGTAAGACTGCTTTCACTACTATCTTTGATTTCATATTTAATACTGAAATATAAAGGAGGGCTTCTTTCCAGAGTACTGGATGTTTTCTCTTTTTAGCCTGACACTTGCTCTAGGGATAAGTTTTCATTACTATATCCATATTCATTAGTGCTATGGGAAAGGATAGGAGGAAATCTTTGTTCAGACTCAGCCAACTTGATGCAAGCCTTAGTATAAATGCCGTTCTACTTAAACAGTTTATTCTAACAGAGTATATATATATATAAAACTAACAGAGATTAGTTTAAACCATGCCAGCCAAAGTGCTCTTTTGCTATGTTCCCTCCTATCTATTAATACATGTATGAATCTTTTATGTGTGCAGACATGTCTTCACATGTTAAGCTGAGCCAATAGTGGTTTCATTTGGTTTTTTTCCCCCCACAACTATTTCAGGTATTCCTTGCACCAACCACACATTTAAGTGCAGGAATAACATTTGCATTAGGAAACAAAACGCAAAGTGTGATGGGACTGTGGACTGTATTGATGGAAGTGATGAAAGCAGCTGCAGTAAGTCCTTCTCAAATGTTCATCTTTTTGAACTTTGAACTTTTTACACAATAAAGCCCTTTATTTCTTCCTGTTTTGGAGTGAATACAACTCATGCAGCGGGTATTGAGTTTTTATTGCGTCCTCTCAGTGATTGCGGGGTAACGATCACTTATCAGTTTACTTCAGATCTGGTTGAAGAATTTCCTAAGTTCTTGTGGGAGGGTGAGCTTACTGTTATGGGGAGTCTTAGTGAGCTGTGATGCTTATTGTAGCTATGCTAAGGAGCAGGGAAGCAGGGTTAACTGCAGAGTGAACTTGGCTGCTTCTGTTGGAGTCAGACTGTATTTGGACTTCAGGAGTGACACAGCTGCAATGAGATAAAAACCATAAATTTTTCATTTCTCTGACTCTTCTGGATGGTGAAGACCCCAATATTTTGTAGTATCAAGCTAGGTTCTAGTCTCAAATCTTCCTAAAGTAACCCCTGACCAAGCTTTTCAGTTTGTTTTGCTGTAAAGTGAACAGGTGATGGTTACTGCAGTAGCAGTGAAATGGGGATAGGATTAGCTGCTTAAACTGAATATTCTCAGGTATTTTGTCTGGCCTTCAGCTGTTTCTGGCACACTACTTATATGTCAAATCTGCCAGCACCTGCCTTGGAATCCAGTAGGACATCTTAAAAGACTAGCTATATGCCTACTTGTGTTTGGAAACATTAATGCTGCTTTTGACTCTTTGGCTGAGTGCTGGAAAGTGCCCAGAACCGTTAACACCTATGCGTGGGAGTGTGGGACTAAAACTCCTGAGCACAGGCTTTATGTGCGTGCACTGGGGATGGGCATGAGGCCCTACATAGGGGTCTTTCTCCATTTCTCTTCAAATCACAGCATGCAGCTTTTTGTGCTGAGACATGACTTCTTCACCTGTGGGTTAGTAGTATATAACATTTCAGACTTTCAGTTGTTTCCATGTAAATAATGATTGGACCACCTTGTTTCTAAAATAATAAATTACCAAACTCCACATATGTGGCTGCTCCTATAAACATTTTTCTTGTATCATTCCCACAGTTTTGTCAAGAAATAAGTGTCCTGATGATGATGAGCTTCCTTCCTTCCCGATGGACTCCTTTCAGTTCAGGGCTGACAGTATTACAAAGAGATGAAGGATTGTCTCTCTTTATATATTCATTTTGATGCTTATTAAATCAATGGATCCTTTGACATTTCTGGCACAAGAAATATTTAGAGGTCAATTTCTGCAGCAGAGCTAGAAAAGAAACTTATTAAGTTTTCCAGGCCAATTCCTTTTTTATGGAGTCACCTCTTGTTTCAGGGATAGAGTAGCCAAATAGAGAAGTTTTCTGATTAGAGCAGGACAAGGAAATAGATCTCAAAACACTTCAAAGTGCAAGATCCTTTCATGCCCTATGTGGGAAGCACTCTCGTTAAAGGAAAGCACTGGGGATGGAGATTATAACCTGAAATCTCCCTTGCAGATTGTGGCAGCAGCAAGAGCAGCAATCCCATCTCTCGGATTGTAGGCGGTACGAACGCTGAGGAAGGTGAATGGCCCTGGCAGGTCAGCCTCCATTTTGTGGGAGCTGCTTACTGTGGGGCATCAGTGATATCAAAAGAATGGCTTGTGTCTGCAGCTCACTGCTTTCAAGGGAGCAAGTAAGCAGTTTTCCTCCTAACTCTGTCCCAAACATCATTCAGCATCCCCAAACACCTTTATCTTCCAGGGTTTGAACCACACTGAGGTGGGATGTGCACTCATCTTTCATCTGCCCTGCTGCTGGGGGGTGTTTTGGGGTATTTTTAAAAGAGATGGCTTGTTTGTTTGCTCCCAACCAGGCTGGCTGACCCCAGAGCATGGCGTGCTCACCTGGGGATGCAAACGCAAAGCCGTGCAAAGTTTGTATCTGCGGTGAGGCGGATCATTGTCCATGAATACTACAACAGCAGGAACTACGACTATGACATTGCACTGCTGCAGCTGAGCAACCCGTGGCCAGACAAGATGAGCCATGTCATACAGCCGATCTGTGTGCCTCCCTTTTCACACAAAGTCCGCAGTGGTGACAAGTGCTGGATAACAGGTTGGGGCCAAAAGCAGGAAACAGGTGAGTTTTGTAGCTTTGGTTGAGCTAATTTTGTTCCCAGGTAAACAGCAGCCTTCACAGCTGTGGGTGTGTGCAGAGGACACCTGCTTTTTGTTGCATGGCTGAGTTATACAGAAAATCATGTTTTGAATTTACTGTCCTATGGAAGTAGGTTCCTGCATGCATGTACCTTCATATGCTTAGGAAAATTGGCTGCTGGTCCTGTGGATCTGGAAGACCTTTCTGCTCGTGTTGTTAGCTAAGACTTGCAGGGAGCTACGCTTACTCTGAAATAACATGGTATTTGGTTTTCCTCTTTGTTACTCTTGGAGGTGTGTTAGCACACCTAAATGGACCCTTTGCTGCTTGCCGCAGGAAGATGAAGCTCTTAAGTCTTCCTCCTCCTGCTTGCAGCCTCTGTATGCTGAACAGCCCTGTGGTGCCAACCCCAGCTGTGAGGTGCCAGCTTTGTCCTTGGGGTGCAGCTTAACAAAATGGCCACCCCATTGACAAAATGGCCGCCCCTGTAATGGCAGGCTGCCCCATGGCAGGGGTAGGCCTGGCTCTCCCACCACCTTGTCCTGAGCTGCATCTTCCCTCGTGCAAATGCTGGTACCTTCTGCCCCTCTTGTGGCTGCTTTCCTAAAGTCCTTCCAGTATAAGTGTAGGTGTGATGGCTTCCCTCGCCATAAATCATGTAACTGCCACTGCGCCAAGCCCCGGGTCTGCCAGCACAGGCCTGGCCCAGCGGTTTGTCTGCACCTGCAGGGCTGCTCTGGCCCGGCCTTGCCTGCCCTCTCAGGGCTGCCAGCACCATGCCGGCCCAGCCACCCCGCCACTCTCAGCGGAAAATACGAGAGGCAAATGCTTGGTGCGAGGCAGAAACAGGTAGTTAACCTCCAGCATTTTGACTTGATGTTCACAGACACAGTTACCACCTGCCAAATGACATTTAGCCTCTCTATAATAGCTGTGAGAGAATATATGGTTGCGAACCAAGTGCAAAACACCTTACCAGGAGAGGATGGCGGTACGGACGTGTGGTGTGGTGCAGTGTCTCTCTTTGGACTACTGGCTAGTCACCCGTGCAATTTAACAGCTGATATTTGAAAGAGAAATGTGATGCCCCAAAAAGAAGGGATTTCTTTTCCCTGTTCCCCTCTTTTCCCTTCATTGGTTTACACAATTTGATTGCCAAATCAATCTTCTAAGTATACTTTATTACATAGAAGCTTTATCAAATTCTGAAACAAGGTTTCATGATGTGAACCAGCACTTGCATATTTGAGTAGGTTGGTGAAGGTTCTTTGGTTATATCCAGATTTTGAGAGGATCACTTGGTGATATTATTGGAGCTGTCGTATTGAAAGGAGGGGACAATTCCATTTAATTCTGTTTTTCCAGAAGTATGTCTTTTACTGAGAAGAGGTATTTTAGCAAAATTTTCAGACAGAGAGGGCCAAATTTGAGATATGTCTTTATGCTGCCAAAAGAGTGATTTGCATTCTGTAACTCTGACTCATACTTTTAATTTTGGATCCAGCCCCTTCAGAGACACCACCGTAATTGCAAATCTGTCTTGTGATGATCCAAATACCTTTGTAAAATCCTGATTCCTTTAAAAAAAAAAAAAAAAGGAACAAATTAAGAAATCTTGAGACATTTTTCAAAAGGCATTAGAAAAAAACTTTTTGGCCAACCCTAGTGGTTATGCCATTGTATCTGGTGTGGCCAAAGGTCTAAGATCACGTTACATAAATGCCTAACACTTAAGTGGTTTTCTGTGCTGTTGCAGTTAGTTGTTTGGAATCTGGAATAACTTGGAGGTCAAAAGTATCTGTGGATATTTTCTGAAGACTTCTTGTTTTGCCTTTCAATAGATGAGTAAAATGCTAAGCTCTGTTGAATCATCCTTCTTTCAATTTGTTTTTCAGGTGATGAAGGTTCAGCAATTCTTCAGAAAGCAGAGGTAGAAATTATTGACCAAACATCATGTCATTCCACATATGGGATTATCACAGCTAGGATGTTTTGTGCTGGACTAATGTCTGGGAAAAGAGATGGGTGCAAAGTATGTATCTTAGCACACCTTGCATAGAGTTTATCTTGTCTTTCATTGCTGCATGATGAGATATAAGAACTGACTGGCAAACCACTTTGTGGTCCATGCGTTTCAGTTTTGCAAAACAGCAATGTAAGAATTTCTCTATCAGCAAATCTGTCATATGGGTATTTTCAGAGTTTTGCTGCTTTATGTATATGAATAACATCACTAAGTTTCAGTTGCAGGCCAAGGGCCAGTCAATTTGCAAGTCCAAATAACAAGTTGAAGTCAGGCAATTTTTGGTACAAGAGTCTCTTGATTGAAGAAAAAGCTGAGAAACTAGCTTGTCTCTTTTCAGGATCCCTCCCTCTCTCCCTCCCAACTTGGAACTACAGGGCTATCTGATGAGATGCAGACAACTAGGCATAAATTTTCAAATGTATAATAAAACTGATCTGGAAATGCTGAGAGATAATAAGCGTGAAGTTCTGAATTTACTTCTAGTCAATAGTAGTAAAACTATATATATATACACAAAATATATAGAAATATAATATATCTTATTTTGTATTATGTTATATAATACATGCTACATTATTTTATATAGAACTTACATAAACCATATATATATATTTACTGCTAAAACAGTAGTAAAACTACTATTTTTTTTTTTTTATGATGGAGATCTGGAATCCTCAAGATGTTCTAGCTTTCACTGGTCTACATAAAAGTGAGAGACACCACAATGACTCTCAGGGCAAGCAATGTCTGAGGGCTTTCTGAGGGAGTATAATGCACCAGCTGCTTTTTAGATATTAGAGAGACCATTGACTTTAAGCCTCATTTTCACTAACTGGAGAATTTGTTTCTCCAGTTATCTGTCTGGCCACTCAAGATATAGCCAAGGAAAGGTATAATTTACAGGCCTTTTGGCTGTATTTCTGTAAGGACGAATGATGTGTGTCTGTGTCTGGCAGTTCTTGGAGCTGATCAAAATGTGGGATGTCTGTTTTGTGAAAAATGCTGGTGTTCCACTTTTCTTTTGCCCCAGGAATTAAACAAAAAAGTTGAAAATGTGACTCCCTAAATGCAAAATCTTAATTGTCAAGGATGAAAAAAATGATCTTCTAAGTTGAATTGCCTCACAAAATTGTTAAAGATTTAAGATAATCCTGCTTTGAACAGCAGCTGACTTGACTTAGATAATCTCCTGATATCTCTGCCAACCTGCATATCCTAAGATCCTATAAAGTTAAAGCAAATAATTTGCTAGCTCTAACAAAATATATGCCTAGAAGGAAGGTACTTGTCTTGCAAAACAATTAAGTGTAACCAACTCATCTTTGGCCTTTGGAAATCCTTTATTGCATTCAATGCTTTGGTACAGTTGAATTTGATACCAGCTGTGTGTTTCAGAGAGGTTGTGTCTACAGCAGTCTTACAAGAAAGTATAAGCGTGGTCCAAGAGATTTTCCCAAAACGGTGGCAATTTTTTTTTTTTTCCTGAATGTCTGCCAATACATCTCTACAAGAATACCATATAACAGAAGAGCACTATTTGCATTTTCCTGTATTATGGAGTTATGCCATGCTGTATAACACTTTGAAGTCTATAACCGACTTCAGCTGCCCTAATTAAAAATGCATTGTGTGCACCTAAAGATTACCTGCTGGCTTGTATCTACTATAGGACAACACTTCGGTTTTTTCCTTCTTAATTAAAAAAACCCCAAATCAACTGAGGGATCTAATCTGTTTCCATTTATTTTTCATTTGAAAGAAGTTATCATTATTAAATACCGTAACTGTATTTTAATTTTTAATTTTTTAACAAAGCTTACTGTTTTTTGGAGTCCTTAGGTGTGTAATCTATAAATGGACGTGCATATTAAGTAGCAGATTTTGGAGTTAGCTGTAAGTTTGAGGCTCAGAAGTTAATTGTGAATTTTAAGCCTAGTTCATGAAATGTAATATCATTATTATTGTCTTCAAAGAGTGAGTGCTAGCCCTCTCTTTTGTGAAAGCGCAGATTTTAGTACAACTGGGCAATCCCATCTGCTTCAAAAAAAAAACCAAAAAACCAAAAAAACAACCTCTTGACTATCTGATGGTTTGAACTGTGTGAATGGGAAAATATAATCGCTGTTGGAATTACTCAGGCAAAATATCTTCTGTGGAATTTTGTCCCAGTTTTAATAATTTGTATTGTAAACACATATGACTTAATATATTCTTTTTAGGGTGATTCCGGTGGACCATTGTCATGTCAAAGCAACAGAGATGGAAAATGGTTTTTGACTGGCATTGTCAGCTGGGGTTATGGATGTGGAAGACCAAATTTCCCTGGTGTCTACACAAAAGTGTCAAATTTTGCACCATGGATTCACAAATATGTGCCTTCAGTCTTGTAACTTGAAAACTGGTTTGCTGGAATACAACATGTCATGGATATCTTCATTAAAAATAATATTTAGTAAAACTGTTCAGTGGTGGAATTTCTTTGCATGTCTCCCTGCTGACTCAATATTTGATTCTGGAATACACATATGGAAGTAACAAATACCCTTTCATCAATCCTTGGTGAAAGAAGTAAAGACTGATCTTGTTGTGTCTGTTCTATGCAGATGTCTGGAGATACAGGAGGAGGTACAATAATAAACTTCTGGCACTTTGTGTTCATTTTCCAGGCACCAGCTAAGTACATGCGCAATCATCTATTGGGAAGCTGAAGAAACAATTGACCAGCTGGAGACAGCTTAAATCTTACTCAGTCATTTCCTCCAAGATGTGTATGGCCCAAAACAGTAGTGACTGTGAAGTAGCAATCAACTGTTAGTACTCTTGCAAGTACTACTTTCCTTACCTCCTCCATCAAGAACAGCTGATAGAGGGAGGGAGAGGAGGGATTGCAGAAAGTGAACTCAATCCTCTCAAATCTGTAGAGCCCTTGTTTTTGGAGATCAGAAATTCTACAGTTAAGCATGGAAGAAAGGATTAGTCTTATTCCTTCTCCAACTTTGTTTTAGTTAACTGCATGGTTTGGAACTACTAACTCTTTTATTTCCTGCCTTAATTTCCCCATATTCAAGATTATTTACAGTTCATCCACTTAAGAATTTAGATTCTTTATCTGCAGGCAACCTTAACAAGATGAGTAAATATGGTGATGTGTATTTATTGCAATGATCTTGTCCTTGTCCAAGTAAAACTGATGCTTCTACCCTCCGAGAGGTGTTTTAAACTGCTACAGAATTAGGTTCTCTGATTGTATATAGTTTAAAAAAATCCTGATATGATTTTTAGAGATGGCGCAAAAGAGGTTGTATTTCCTTTAGGCTTTTTATGTGGGTTTCCTTTCCATGAAGGAGGTGGCAAGGTATCAGTCAATCAGCAGGTTGCATGTGTAGCCGAGATAGGCTGTTTGAAAAAAAAGAGGACTTGAATAAAACAGTCTGTCTACAGCTGTAGTTTGTATTCCTGAGCTGTGAGGATTGCCTTCCAATTAAACCCTTTTGTAGCCTCCATGTGATCCGTGTTGGCATTTGCTTGTTCCCTTTTTGTTTCCTGGAGCTGAGGTTTCTTGGGCCTGTTCTGTGTTTTCAGGTTTTGTTCTTTGTGTGCATGTGCACTCCCTCTCTCTCCATGTATGAAATATGTTATTTCCCTGCACATACATTCTTGATTTTCTTATTTTACATGCAGAATGCCCTGAACTTGTTGACTTGCTGGCTTAAAACCGGTTTTAATTCCAAACAGGAAAAGTAAGCATGAATTGCTTTGCAATTACATTTGTTCCACGGTACCAGCTTGAGGCTGGAAAATTCAGGTGGTCTGTGGAATTGTGCATTTCTTCTCTCTCCTAAATTATTTCTGTGGATTCCAGCAGGTTTCATTAGAAGTTGCCTCATTTACCTTGCTTTGGGACTTGCTTTACCTGTAAATTGCTTGCATGTCTATTGCTCTGTGTCATAAATTATTTCCTATTCTTGTATTTCCGAAAGAAGTGGGTAGTTCATCTGTTTTCAAATGATGGGATCCATATCCTACTTAGCCAGTTAGGGAAACAAAGAGTTACAGTGATGGTAACTTTTCCTCCCCACCTTCTTTGATTGCAGATCAGCTGGCTCCAGCTTCATGCAGTATGGCAACAGTGAAATGAGAGAAGCCTGGTGTGCATGGCAGGGAGAGCAGTAAACTATTCTGGGTTATGTTTAAGAAATGAGGTTCATTTAGGACTTTGTTTTTAGTTTGTCAGAAGGCATTTGTCAAGGCACCATGATACGGGCTTTCCCCTCCGGCCAGGTTTCTGTGTACAGCATACCAGCTCCGTATGACTCTCAGCAGACTGCAAGACAGGTAAGAGACACCAGCTAAGCTTTACAGCAGGAACACAGTAAATGATCTCTCTGCCCACTCTGGTGTGTGTTGACCTCTGCTCTTTGCATGCAAATTGCTCCTAACCAAAGTGGTAGCAATTTTTCCCCCGCTTACATAGCTTGATGAAATGCATGCCACAAACAAGGAGGCGAGAAATATGTGGGTTTCATATGTGATGTGGCTGATAACATGAAAGATATTATCTCAATCTAAACCTTTTTAAAAACTGCAAGGTCAAATATACTAAAATATGGTAAAATAGCTCTTCTTTTTTTGTCTTACTAATTGGTGCCTTTCCATGTCTTTCTCTAGGACAGTCTGCATATTCACTGCTGCCCATCCTACAGAGAAGGCTTGTGTCAGAAGTATTGTTTCTTCAAATGGATGAGGTTGTGTTTCTGGAGAAGATGGCTTCTAGGAATATTACCTATAGTTTCTTTAATAGTCACAGTAATTGTGCTAGTCCTGTACTGTTCGTTCTGTAAGTTTTACTCCCCAGCATGGTCTGGATGGGATGGGATGGGACTGCACCATGTGAATGTTTAGTACAAAAAGGTCTGCACTAAGCAGCTAAGAGTGTAATGCGTGTATAAAGGAGAATTTCCCTTCTCCTTAATGTCTTTCCTAAGGCAACAAAATGCATAACAACTAGTGGTTGATAGTTGCACAATAATAATGAAGGTATGTATTTTACCTCTAGATTTTTTGTCTCTGTTTGTGGATACCATCATTATTATAACCATCATCTTTCCCAAGAACTTATAGGAATTAACTGTCTATCCGCTATTCACTTTTTCAAAACAGAATGGGTACCAAACTTATGTACACTCCTTCCTAGATCTCAGCTTATAGACATTAAAATTGTATCTCTCCAGGAGAACAGCGCTGCAAAAAAATGGAATTGTAACGATTAAAGCTTGCTAGTAGAAATGCCTGTCTGAATCTGTACGTCATCCCTCTCCTTTCCTTCTGAGTGTTATTCTGTCAATGGGACTGACTCAATGCTTTGCCTATTATTGCATGTTTCTCTTAAGAACTAATGCCTACCAGTGCCAAGGACAAATACATGCTTCTGCAAGCTGCTTGTTCTGGAAGCTTTTCCATAATGTTATTAGGTGTGCTAATTTTTTTTAATCATTTTTTCTCTCAGCTCCAGCTTTCTCCTTTATTTATATTGGTGGAAGCACAGAATTTCCTAATTTGACTTACACAAATGACCTCAGTGATCCAAAGTCACAGAAATTCCTCCTGCAAGCAGAAGCAATCCAAAATTATGTAAGTTCCCACATAAGTATAACAATAATTTAAAAACACTTATTACAGAATCAGATTGGTAATGAGGAGATTCCAGTTAGTCACAATTTTTTTTTCTTCAAAATAGTATGTTTGAAGCTAACAAGCGCCTTGGCGGTGTACAGCTTTAGGAATGTAGCTGGACAGCTAGGGCTGTGTGTCTTACAGTAAAGCCAGTTTTTCCCAGGTAATAAAACCTGGGTGTTTCAAGGTTATGGGCAAATTATTCTTCTTAAAGGAATTAGGAGTGTGTGGGGTTTTTTTGTTTTACTTTACTCAAAAACTCTTCCTTGCTACACTTTTCTGGTTTGTTTTTTTTTTGTTTTGTTTTGTTTTTTTGTTTTAAACAGCTCAAATTCAATGCTTAACTTTTCATTTTGTTTTCCCTTATACCCCACAACAATGCTTGCTTTCTTGCACTTCTTATGTGAGTTCCTATTTGTGAGATCAATACTTTTTCCTGAGTACATGTGAACAGTAGTCTTAAAAACAAGGCAGTTCTCTGTTAGACTGTATTTCCCAAAAGGGCTAATCTAGTGTCTCAAAGCTGCTTTGTGCACAGCCAACACAAGTTGCTCATGTCCAGATTATATGCCGGAAAATTAAAGACTGAAACAAAAATATAAATGTATTAATAAAGGCTTCTTTTTCATGGCTAATTATCAAGAGTTATCTCAATGATCTTGAAATGTGATGTGACTTAAAAGTCTTTCTCTTTAGTGGAAATAAATGCACATTTATAATCCTTATTTGATATATTTTATGAAAATGATGGATAGTGTTTGTACCATGGGAGGGGGGTGAGGAAGGGGAAAGGAAGAAATAAGGCAAATACTTTATAGCACAAGAGATTATATTGACACTAAAATGTAACACTTTTTACATTTTCTTTTGCCATTATTTAACTGTCAGTTTGCAGAACCATATGAGTCTTCCTCCTTGGGAAAGTACTACTTCAATTCTGTAGTGGCTGCTTTCAGGTAGGTTCTGTTCCAGCATGTGGTATAAATTCAACATATTCAATTGTGTTTGTCTTATCTTTTTTCATACATTTTAAATTAGTTATCTGGAAAAATTTATAGATCTCTAACAGGGAATGAAAAATGCAGAAATGCACTTAAGTATGTGAGCTAAGAGCTAAGTTAATAGTGTGATTTCTGTCTTGCCCTGTAGAATCAGTGAGAGAAATGAAGTTTGATTAATCATGCCTTTGTCTATGGATTGCTTTGTAGTCTATTCATCTAGTTTAGATTTTTGAAATCACAGTTCA